CGTGGACGCAATTCAGACGATCATGTCAACGATTATCGTGCATGATAAACCCGCACACAACAAAAGAAAAGCAGCAGTGGCTGAGCGATAAGAACCATACAGTCACACGACGTTCACACAGAAACAAAAATGATTGCATATAATCCGCTGAAGTACGGAGAAAGTTGTGGTGGCGACCGACTTTTCTCCTACCTATCCACCCTCCCTCCCCACAATCCACCCTCCAACCGCGAACCACGGAGGACGAACTTATCCTGCAGTTCGCGCAGTGCCGCCACGTGTCACACCCGTGATTAACAAACCCTTTTGTGGAGCACGACCAGAAAGTGTGCTCCAATTCCTAAAAGAGTACATGAAGAAAACAAACAAAAAAAAAAAAACTTAAAACACAGGAGCCGCTCACAACACACGCTGTACAGAGCCATCTGCCGACGTGGCCACGTCGCTGGACCGCGCAGTCTTCGCCACCCTTATCGTTCGACGCGGTGAGAGATGTTTYCGCACCTCCRCCTCAACACACTGYCGCGCAGGACCTGCCACCTCACCTATTCGCCACACCCCCCACCCCCAGCACATGGCAACACCCGTCCCGMCTCTGCGCTACCGTGTCCACTTGAAGGCGCACACTTCCTCCTCTCGTCACCACCGTCGACGAAGCGCCGACGATGCGCACCAACCCGCTGCCATGTGCTCGAGATGACGTGTCACTTGCCATCATCTCCATTGTCATCCGTCGCGGGCCCACTGCCGATCCACCCGTGTTTTGCGGCCTCCGCCACGTTCTTCAGGGCAGCATTGTGCCCGAACGCCAACCCGCAATCACACCACTCCGGAATGCATTGCGGGTAATCTCCCGGCGTGAGGTGGGCCTTCCCTAGAGGATCGAGGACGAGGTTGGCGGAGTCCACCACGTGTCGGCGCCAGTTGAAGATGTCAACCCCGCCGCTATCATCGTCGGTTTCGCAACCATGGACGCGTACGACCATGCCTCGTAATGCGATCGGTCGTCGTCACCTCCCATGCGCATGATCCACATGACCGCGCACAACAACGCTCGCAGACAGTCCGCCAGCCTGGACAACCTCTCCTGTTTTACGCGCCCGCCATCCGCCCACTGTCCGCACCAGAGTGCATCTGTCCAGCACTCCGCCAGCAGAAGAACTGTCGCCTCCTGCCGGGCCGCCATGTCGTCGTCTTCCGGGCGGTCCTCAATCTTCACCCCCGCGAACCACAGGGGCACGTCCATCTTCATCGCCACTGTGTGCTAGACGAGTGCAGGGGATACCACTCTCGACCATTCCAAGGCCTGCCAAACTGCTCGTGCGAAGTCCGTGGCGAAGTGGACCGTGATGTAGGACTCTGCACGAGAGAAGCCAGTCCACCTCGACCGCGATTTAAAGATCCAACCGTGGATGGTGCGCAGCACTACTCTCTCCACGCTGCGCGCTCTGCGGAGAGCCGGTTCACGTTGCGCCGGGTCGTCGATCTTGAAGCGAGGCACGTCGTTCGGCGGCATGATGAGCATTGAAGGCGGCTCAGCTCCTGCGTCTCCGTTGGCGACGGCGACGAAGTAGTTGATGCATTCGCCTACCGCCTCCCTCAGAGGTTTCCCGAGGCCCTGATTCCAGAAAGCGTCGCAATCAACCCACAACTTGGCCTTCTCTTGCAGCTCGTCCTCCTTCGGCGCTCCCTTCCCCCTCGGCACAAGTGGACGGTCGCCGCCGTCATTGCCCTCCCGCTTTCCGTATCTTCGGCCATCGTCACGGCCAACGTCGTCGACCCCCACCCTTTCCGCACCTTCGACGACTCTGCCTTTAGCTGTGTGATCTGCCGCCGCCGTCCGACTAGCGGTAGCCGTCGCGTTGCCCTTTTGCGCGGTCGCCGTATGCCCTCCCCCTGTCGCCAACACGTGTTGCAGGGGGAGTGGCTGACCTTGGCCTGCCGCCTCCGAAATTTGTCCCGCGACCCGCGCAGCCGTGACGACAACCCCTGCCGTGTTTGGGGACCTTGGCACCGTCCTGGCAGCACCGCCAACAACGCTGCGTCTCGCTGCTTGCAGCTGCTCCCTCGACACTCTATCCCGCCCGAAACCCAACCTCACGACCACTGCCGTCCCTTGCGCGTCCACCATAGCCAATTCGTCTGCGAGGAAGTCCTCAGTTTGTGAGGAGCTCGCGTCATCGATGCGCTGCCTTTTCGACTTCGGTATGTGGTCTCTGCCTTTGTTGGTTTCCCCACCGTCGCCCACCCCGCCATCTTTCCTGCCCTTCGCCGAGGCTCCCGTGGGGGCATCTGGTCCGTAAATCGGCAACAACGACCACGTAAACGAAGGCTTCCTTTGACGAAAGAGCACGCGAAAGAAGGACGCCTGTGACTGCTTCCCAGTGCTTCCACGTGGACGGAGGACAACGTGGACGATGCAGATGACGGGGCAGTGGTCGTGGAACCGCGACGACAATGGCGACCGAAATGGGGATCGAAGACGATGAAACACGTTGGCGGAGGAACACGTCCACGAAGGATGATGTCGACGAACGAACGCGGCACGCGGGCGAAGAGGAAAGCTGGTGCGACGTGGACGAGGGACCGCCTGTTTGATGCGCATGAAGGGGCATTGTCCGCGCAGCACGATGCGGGAGCGTGGAGCGGCGACGCGGAGTTGCAGGCGCGCGACGATGAGCAGGTAGGCAGACGGTGCGAGAGGGAGCCGTGGGTAAGGAACCACCGCGGTACGAAATGGTGGGCGGAATGTCCTTTTTCCATGTACAGCGATGTGGAAGTACACCGTGGACATGAGTCCCTGTCCACTACAGCCCGCCCCTTCGTCGCTTACCCATGGTCCGTTTTCCTCCGCAGGCGCATGTCATCCCTTGCATGGCCAACATCCTTAGTGGGCGCGCAGAAGGACCATGACGGAGGCATAAAAAGCCCGCCAAAACAACGACACCCTCTTGCCCGAAAATCACACCCTTCTCTGAAAMCCCCGAAGCTCGCCATCCATGCGTGCCGGCGACGCCTCACTACAGCAGTCCTAATATTYTATAATCAGACGACGTAGCGCAACACCGAAGGACGGGCCGCGGGGCATGACAGCAATCATACCCATTCTACAATGAAATCATGAAATAAATGCATACCTAAAAAAAAAAAAAAAAACGTGCGCCCAAAAAACAACCAGCCGTCTGTACACAACCAGCACATCTCGTCACTGCAGCACGCAGGACAATGACGGCACGCGTAGCGGGGAGACGTCACGATCGCTCGCGGATCGCTTTAGCAATCTCCATAAGTGCTTCGCACATCATCAAGTTCGCCTGGTCAGCCTTAAAGTAGTGTTTCTTCTGCACTTCAACCTGTCGCTCCAGAATGTCGCACTTCCTGGTCAGAATTGAGCACTGTCTCTTGCTCGCGCTGTCCATGGTTGACGCCATTAGACTCCCGTGCTCCTTCATGACGTCTGCAATCGTGTCGAAGGTCTGTTGTCTCACATTCTTCCGTTTGCTGCCCTGCCAACACCACCGCCGCTGATAGAATCCTTCGTGGACCCCTGATCGTCGTCCTGTCCATCCCCGCCCCCCTCACTACCGCCGGATTCATTCCGACCCCCGCGTGGGCCCGACATTTGAACACCTCCAGTCGCACCGGTGTCGGCGAGATTGGTGGGGTGTATGGTGTGATCGCTCCTGGTCATCGCCGCCATCTCCGAATACACACGCTCATCCATCCGGAAATCGAACCCCCGCTCGTTCCTCTCGCTTGGCGTCAGTGTGAAGAAATTTGGCTTCCCCGATTCTCCCATAAACTTGTGCACGGTTTTGAATTGCTGGTACAGGTTGTCCCATTTCTTCCAGCAATCGACGACCTTTCTACTCGTGACCCCCATGTGCACCAGCCTCTTCTCCACGTCGTCCCACTTCCATGTCTTCGTCTTCATCCTTCCCGTGGTGTGCGCGAGACCGGCAAGATGCGAATCCTGGTCTCTTTTTGCCCGGATGAGAGCAAATATATGCTCCACGGTCCAAAAATCCCGGCTTTTCGATCCCTCGCCAGCCGACGCATCTTCCACACCCTTCTTTCCCCTCCGCCCCGTGCGCGTTTCAGGCAACTTTTTGGCGGCCGTTGACCCTCCCTGCTTTCTCTCAGGTGGACGAATCTCCATGTCCTCGTCGTCCTCCTCGTCGTCGTTACCGGCCCCGTCGTCCGCCTCGCAATCCTCCGCAACTCCACCGTCTTCATCGCGTAATATATCATCCGCCCCCACGCTAATCTTCGCCACCCCTCTTGTTATGCCGGTCGTGCTCGCTTCACGCGATTGCTGCCGATGATCATCCCAAAACTTTCGACCAACGACCTCCGTTGCTGACCACTCTTCGTTTGGGCGTCATCCGTCCACTGTGCCACCTGCTGTCGTCGTTCTACACGGAACTGATCGCCCAGTCCGCGTTGTCACTGGAGGCGGTGCGTGGGTGGTGCCCGAAGCCGGGTTCACGATAACGGTGCGCGTCGCCTCCTCGGCACTTTCGCACCTCAATCCGAAGCTGAGATCCACCAGTCCTGCGTCATAACCAGTCGGGGCACGCCTCTCTAGCAGATCAGTGTACGTTGTCGTCGATGCCCGCCTGTGCAGCTGGCTTCCCATCCAATCCTGAGTCGAACCGCTGCCCAGAGGAAGGGTAGAACATCGTGGGTTGTCGCCGTCATCGTCACTTGGAGGCAACGGTATCTTGTGGGACGGCAGGTGGCTGTATAGTGCGGGGTCGTACGGCCGACTGACTGCTTCCGCACTTCTGCAGCGCTGACATGACGACCCCGCAGCCCCAACGGACAACGTGGTCCTCGTCTGTACCCTCTCCATCTTCCTGGCCGTCTTCGACGTTCGCCGCGTCTGTTTCCTCCCTGAAACGCGCACGAGGCAGCAAATATGGAAGACGACAACGACAAGCAGCAGCAAAGGCAGCCTGCGGTACAGGTCTGCCATGAACTACAGGGCAGCAGAAACAGAAGATGCGCTTGCACGGGGGCAAGCGCGGCGAACGGAGACAAATGGTGCGAGAGGGAAGACGCCAACGAATGAAATTGATGCAATCTCCATGGTGGCTGCAGTAGGGCGCCTACAAAATACGTAATTTTCGACCGTTGTGGAGCACGCGGGAACGGCACGACCACTGCAGGAGCCGGCCTAGACGTCCGATGCTCGCCGGTGCACCTCCGCCGGGACACCCGACGAACCGACAGGGCCGTCCCGCGACGATCACCGCCAACGGTAAAACGACGAGGCCGTTACTTGACCTTTTGGACGCCCACGCCTCGGGATGTCCGTCTTCCGCCTTCCGGACCACCTCTGGACCACTTTCGACCTCCGTTGCCCCTTCGTGACGCCGCCGACACCCCCATAATCGCGGATCCTCGGGCTCCAAAGGACCTCGCGAGGACCTCACGAGGTCCCTTGAACCCGAGGACTATTTGGCTGGGAAATCCTCGGAGCCCGAGGATTTGTCCTCGGAGTGTTTTCACATTTCTGTTCCGAAAATCGGCTCCGAGGACAAGTGGAACGACGACGGAATCCTCGGAATCGCGTCCCCGAGAAGTGTCGGAACCGGCTCCGAGGACAGGTGGAACGACGACGGAATCCTCGGAATCGCGTCCCCGAGAAGTGTCGAACGACGCCCTAGCTCTGGGTGTTCTCCAATCCGCGCGAGGAATTAGCAGCCATGGGTAAAGGCACGGGAAGCTTCGGCAAGCGCCGGAACAAGACGCACACGCTCTGCCGGCGATGTGGGCGGCGAAGTTTCCACATCCACGAAGTCGAAGTGCTCGGCATGTGGATATCCTGCAGCACGGATGCGCAAGTTTAACTGGAGTCAGAAGGCCATTCGCAGGAAGACAACAGGGACAGGGAGGATGCGCCACCTTCGGACCATGCCCCGAAGGTTCAAGAGCGGCTTTAGGGAAGGCACCCAGGCCGCTCCGAAGAAGAAGGACGCCGCAGCAGCCGCTCATTGAGTGCGTTGAGGGAGTTTTGGCCGAAGTGCAGTGATGATGTAAAGGGGGAGAGGGAGAGGGAGAGGTCTCGGAGAAGAGCGAGATGTGCAGAGATTTGCAGAGATGCGCAGACGTTTTCGTCATAGAATGAGAGCCTAACTCCTCGTCGTCGATTCCATTTTTTCCGCTCTCTGAGGTATAAAATATGGGTGACTTTGTTCCAGTTATCAGGAGTAGGTTAAGGGTTCAAATTCGTTTGTCCGCTCTCGACGTGACACGTTTGCAAGCGAACTGAGATCGGTGTCGTCACCGAATCTTTCCGTCGGCTGTGAGTCGAGTGGAGAGTGAGTGGAAGTGGGGGTGGAAGGAAGGAGGATTGTTCGCGCTCTCGCTCGCTCTGAAGAGGCGACGCGGTGGACTTATCATCCTGTGATGGGGAGGTAAGGGTGGAGGAGGGAGGGGTGGTTGGTTTTTGACGACGATCTTGTGGATGGAACTCGTGAGATGGGCTCTGATTGATCCAAATGACAGCCGTCGAAGATGCTGTGAGTTTTCAGTAATTCAATTCCATTAGTCGTGTGCGACATCGAAATCTTTGCATTTTGCGCGAAGAGAAATTTTCTTCTTTGTAAAAAAAAAAAAGAAAAAAAGCTCCCGCTCTCGCACCCGTCCCCCGTGTCCGTTTTCGGAAGCGCGCGGTGAAGGCGGGGGCAAGGTCCGACTTGCGCAAATCAGGAGATTCTGCCCGTTGATCTTTGCTATCTACGGTCAGTATCTCTTAATTCGTGCAAGTGGGACCTAGCCCCGGATGCGAAGGCGCGGTGGACGGTGGAATAATGGCGCGAAGAGGAGAGAGCGCAAAGATTCACTCTCCCCGCGTTCTAGCAGATCTGTCCCCGCCCTGTAGGCGGGCTGAGTGGCTGTACCGGCTTTGGTAGCTGAGCGAGTTTTTGCACCGGCGGGACAGTAGTTGCGGCAACCGGGGCACAACAGGACAGAACAGGACAGCACAGCGGAGACACCCAGGCAGAGGTAGACATGGAGATATCCCTCGAGCTGCGGAGGGACACGGCGTGATGAACTGCCCCAGGCAAGTCACAGTAGCATGCTGATATTCGTTCGACCATCGGTGCTGTGTAGAGGAGGAGCACGATTGGTAGACGGGCATGCTCGTGCCCATGCTTTCCTCGATGTCATTCTGATGTCCGATCACGGCCAACCCCGTTTTCCCACTGGAAGCAGGCCGACCGGTAGACTACCAAAGTGTGAGAGTATGTTCTGAGTGAAAACACTCCTAGAGTGAGTAAGAGAGAGAGAGAGTGTGTGTGTGTGTCTGTGTGTGTGTGTGTGTGTGTGTGTGTGTGTGTGTGTGTGTTTCGAAGTCCAATACCAAGTCGGACGTGATGACTGTAACACGGTTGAAATGGCACTCCCACATGGGAGAGGACAAAGCATAGCAGTGTGAGTGGTGAGGCGTGCGTGGGAAGTTGGAGATTGCTGTCGAGCGTGGTTGATGTCGGCGGCACGGAGGTGAACGAACGCCTTGAGAGCTCTCCTTTGGGATCGCTGGTCAGGTAAGGGCTTTTCAGGCCTGGACTTTGTTTTCAATGCACCTGATTGGGATTACGGGCTAGATGGAGCGGACGAAGTCCTAGTGTGAGCCAGCGCGGTCTAAGTCCGAAAATTTTGTACGCCGTATACCGCACTCTATCTGTCTCTTATACACATCTAGATGTGTATAAGAGACAGGATAGAGAGAGAGAGAGAGAGAGAGAGAGAGAGAGAGAGACCACTCGATAATTTTTATTATTTTGTCTTGCGTTCTTTTTTTTCGGTTTCGTAGTTTTTTGTTTGGAACGGTCCATACACTCTCTATTTTTCTCTCACCTCACATATTTTTTTTTAAACTGGCGTTCTGCCATGTCATCATCGAACATATCTTTCTTTCACTACCTACGACTACTCCTAAGGCTACATAGCTCCTTTGTTGTTGTTGTTGTTGTTGTTTCTTTTTTCCCTTTTTTCCCTTTTTTCCTTTTTTTCCCTTTGTTCCCTTTTTTCCCTTTTTCCCTTTTTTCCCACCGTTTCCCTTCGTGAAGAAGCTCCGTCCATGCTCCTTTGTAAAGCTTCCTCCTTTCTCCGTTTTCGTGTCTGCTGACGCTCCATACACTATGTATTCCTCACAAGGATTGTATGCGGCGGTTTCGCCGAGTGGAGGGTTTGCTTTTGGTTACTCATCACACATGGCACTCAAATCTGTGATTGTAAGTTCTCAGCGGAGACGAAAGTTAGCAGCAATTAGATATGAAACTCCGTCGAATGAAATGCGAAACTTCGTAGTAACTTGACACAACTTCGTAGTGATTACAGATCAAACTTCGTAGAATAAGACGCGAAACTTCGTAGTAATTAGATACGAAACTTCGTAGTAATTAGATGCGAAACTCCGTTGGGATTAAATAAGTACGCGCAGTTAACTAAAGGTAAATAAATACACGCGTACTCGGGCTTGGTTGATGGTGATTTGTATATGTACGTTCTCTTCTCTAGTGTTTGGCACCAACGATAATAAGAAAAACGATGAAAAAAGAAAAAAGAAAAAGAAAAAGAAGAAAAGCGTTGATTTGATGTAGAGCGAAGTAGCACGGTATCGCTTTCCGGAGAGCGAGTCAGGGCGTATCATTTCTTTTGCTTGTTTACATAAAACTCAGACGATGCCGACGGTCACCCCAGGGGTACTCTCCCATCGCTAAAAGTGAGGGTTGGATTGAAGAGCCTGAATCTGGATGTGTCTTACGCAGAGATGCAGAAAAGCAGTTCAGTCGCCATTTCTGCCACCTCTGCACCAGCACGCCCAGATTCTGCCGTGAAATCCAATCCTCCTTGCTACCATCTTCAGCCGAACACAACGGATGGTCATTATAGCTGTATCTAGACTCAAAGCTGCACCAAATACAGCTGTAGTTACCGTACGTTCTATTCGGGTGAAGACGGTAGTGGCATTGCGCCCCGAGGCGGCAGGCAGTCTCTTGGTATCGTTAGGCTGTTAGCGACAACAAATCACGCTAGGTGGGTTTTTTTTTTTCCCCGTTAATTTGGACCATTTCTCGATTCATGCGTGCCATCCTTGAGCAGGGGCCATGCTAGTCTTCGCAGGTGTATGCCGACTGCACTCCTTGCAAATGTTAATTTTCACTATTTTTTTTTTTTTTAATTAATTGGTTTAAGGATGTCTAGTCTGACACGACCTTGTGTTCTCTCAGCTATCACTGTCTGTAATGTCTCTCTTCTTTTTTCCCGTCTCTTCTTTCTTTTGTTGTGGTAATTAAATCGGATTAATGGCAGATGGATGGGAGTGCGTGATTGTTTGATAGATGGAGGTAAATTAATGCTAGATCGACTACTAGGTAGTGAAGTCATCGACTTATCAAAAAATTAAAATTAAAATTTACAAAATTGTTGAATGATAGGGCTGTTTTTTTTTTTTTTTTACCAGCGAATAATACGCTGATCAATTTGTCGGTTCAAAAAAAAGTCGGATTGAAGTCGGAATTGACGACACAAAACGAGATAAACCTTATTCCTGATTGCCCTCCTTCCAACTCTTATCGCTTCGAATGATGTCTTTTTTTTTTTTTTTTTTTTTTCAATTTACATTTGCATCAGGTATCACTTAGGGAGATTCATTGCGCACGTTCCCTGACTTCTCTCCTTGGAAATACCCTCACTTTCTCTGATGTCTTTTTCCCCCCCCCCTTGTTTTTTAAATACTACCTGATGTGTTTGCTAACTAGCTTCTGTCTCTTATACACATCTAGATGTGTATAAGAGACAGCATCAGGACAGCACAGGACAGAACAGGACAGCACAGCGGAGACACCCAGGCAGAGGTAGACATGGAGATATCCCTCGAGCTGCGGAGGGACACGGCGT